GCAATCATCATTCCACGTAGATATTCAAAAATACATATTAACCACAATAATAATTTAACTATATCTAATCATCATACTAACAACAGTATTATCCATAAAATAATTTATTTACATCTAATCACCATATTAATTACGATATGAATCATTAATTAAGAAACAATGTAAACGCGAGATCTTGCCTACGACGAGTCGACTGCGAGTGTGGCTAGCGGCGTCGACGCGGTTGAGTTCGTCGACGAATCTGGCTAAGGGCGACGGCGGAGGCGGCAGTAGTGGGGTTTGCCGGCGACGCGGAGGTGGTCAGGGGGTGTCGGGGGCGGCTGCAGGAGGTGGTCGGCAGCAGTCGAGGTGGAGCTCGGGGAGGGGTCTCGGGGTCGCTGGCGTCGGGCGGCGGCGAAGCCAAGGCTGGGCGGCGGTTCGTGGCGGTGGGTTTGGTCGAACAGAGAAGGAGGGAGAGGAGGAGGTGGGGGCGCTGGACTTGGGTTCTTTCGAAGAGAGAGAGAGAACGAATGAGTGGAGAGATAAGAATGAGCAGATGCAAAAATAATATATGAGAGAGAGAGAGATGGTGAAGTGAGAGATGTGACAGGGGGTTGGTTGATGAGAAGTGGGGAACGTGGGTTGGTTTTGCCCCTACTGCCACCCTTTCTTGGGTTTGAAGAGAGGAGAGAGAGAGAGGGTACGGTGATGAGAGATAGGGAGATGGGGTGTTGTACGATGGTGTATTTTATGGGAAGAGAGAGATCATGGGGATATTATAATATTTGAAAGAGAGAGATTAGAGAGAGAGGGGGAAAGATTTGATTACGGAGAACATAATTGGTATGTTTTTTAACGTGATTGCTGGGGGATTGGACTTGGATTTGGAGGAGGGAGTTGATTAGGGAACTGATTAGCGAATTAATTAGGGAACAAAAATACGGAAGAAAATCAAAATGAGAGAAATTTAGGGAAAAGAGATTATGGGAATATATTTGCAAGATATTCAGAATAATAATTAATCATATAAAAATATTAATAAAATAAAGTTTAATATTTTAAATACTAGTAAAATTTATTTAAATACGTATCGAAAATTTACGGTTGTTACAAGGAAGTAGAGTCATCTCGGGCTAAGAAAAATTCAAAAGTAGTGGGGAAACAGGTATCATTGCGACAACAAGTCCAATTAGAAAAGGTGGATGCTTTTACCTCAACGGGGGAAAGTAATAGGAAGAAAATGGAATGGAGAAAGAGTAAAATGAGTGCCACTTCTGGACATAGTCATATTAGTGGTGCTATTGGTCCTCCCTGAGGTTCAAATGAGATTGTAAATTGTATCACCACGCTTAGTGCTCTTGAAGGGATTGATTCAACTCAATTTTTAAAAGCTACACATGTCTTACATGATGATACAGTATGGAGAACCATGTTCCTAGCGATGCCCGATGAGAGAAAGAAGGAGTGGGTGTTAAGTCTACCATATGCGTGCTTGTATTAGGTCAAGGATCTTTCTAGTTGTCTCTTGTTATGTTGTTTGTAGTAGTTTAAGGATCTTTCTAGTTGTCTCTTGTTATGTTGTTTGTAATAGTTTAAGGATCTTTCTTTTTATCACTCGTTATGTAGTTCGCATTAGCTTGAGGAACTTTCTCATTGTCTTTAGTTATGTTATTTGTACTATGTTGAGGACATTTGTATGTGATTTGTTGATGTTATATAATCACACAGATAAAATGATAGGAGCTGGGTTGATTAGGGGCCGCTAACTTTTCCGAATATCTAGTTTGGAGTTGAGATGTTCTTCCCTACAACGTGTAGCAACTCGTAAGAGGGTAGGGTCTGATTCCTCCGTTGTTCCTCCGACGATCAAGTTAACAAGGTACTTGAGTGGGGGGAAATAAAGAATTATTGCAGTTCTTTAGTGCAGTGGAATGGAGAAAAATATAGAGAAAATTGATTACCTTCATGTTGGGAATAGTTTTCTCTTTTATGGTTATAAAGGAAGGGCAATTTGGTCTCTTCGGCCGATCTAGGCTAGCGGCTGAGTCAACATCGACTTTACAGATGTCGGTTGTGGAGTGGTCACGAAATGGTCGACGTCACTTCAACATTAATGAGATGTGATAGGCGGTGTGCGAAGACGATGTAGTCCGATGTGCCATAAATAGTATCAGGGATGGAGAAATGATGGCACCTGTCAGACATTCTATGCTTAATAAATCTAAAGTAAAATATAACAATAAGAGAACAGTTCATAATTTCTAAGTGAAATTGACTAGTGGATTCAATTCTAGATTCCTCATATCTCTAACTGATTTTTAATTTTCCTCTTTATTCTTAATTTTCCTTTATTTGTTTCTTATTTTCCTCTAATTTATTCTTCCTCTTAATTCAGTTTAGTTTTATTTGCATATAATCACACCCCACTCTTTTTGTCTCTCCACAACCGCACTTATCACTCCTAATTGTCCACACAACTTAAAAACTAATTTTGATTATCTTTGACAACACCTTCTTCAAGAATTCAACATCTTTTATAGTATAACTTGATAGTTGTGCACTTGCAATATGAGTTTTATTTACCCCCTATCAGAAGGTATGTTGGACAAAATTTTTAGGTCATTTTAATGTTGTAATGTATTTCTTTAATCTCATTATCTTCTTTGTCTGTGACACACTTGTGATTCAAAGAACGCCAATAGATAGAATCCAATGCAACTCTAACTTTTATGGTCATGGACCTAACCCATTGCGTTGCATATAAAGGCTTATTATTCTCACTTTGGTATCTAAAGTTTACCCATCTTTCTATTTTGATATCCCAAAATAATTTTTTTAATACTTTGATGCCCCCAAAGTCTCAATCACATCTCACGATGATACCATTTTCCAGAGTTCATTAAATTTTAAATTTATATCATGCACTTAGCACATGGTTGCAACATTTGGCTGTCCATATCTCTAGCAATTATTTAAAACTATCATAAATATAATCCAAATGTAGAATAAAATCTAGCTATCCATTTCTCTAGCAATTGGACAAAACTGTCACAAATATAATCCAAATGTAGAATAAAATCTAGAGAAATATAAATGAGGGCATGAAAGTAAAGTAAAATTGAAATTTTGAGGTTGTTATGGTGTTTTCAATCGCCAAAATGCAATACATTGTCAGCAACGGACATGTGTACTTCTGTATGCATTGCCCCAATCAAATTGGCGGCCAAGACCAACAAGGATCCTGACTTAGCCGACTAGCCGAGTCGACATCCCCTTTTGTCGACTCGAACGGCAGTACCTATCAGTCCTCTTGTCGAAGACGACTCGCTACGAGCCCACTCGACCAATTAGTCGACGCATCGTGAGGTCGACTCAGAAGGCGTTACTTCTCAGCCAAGCCACATGACGACTTCAACCTCGAAGTTCTTCCACCGACAACGTGTTAGCATCGTATTTAATGCTTGACAGACGTCATCATGTCTCTAGCCCCGATAGCCTTCATGACTTATCGGACCATGTCTACACCACCATGCCTCCGACCACTTCTCATTTAATGTTGAAGTGATCTCTCCTCTACTCGTCGAGTGATACCTGTAAAGTAGGTGTTGACACAGCCGCCAGCCCATACTTGTTTACCGTCATGCTGTGGTCGACCGAAATGACGGTTCTACCCTTTTTCTACCAGTATAAATAGAGATACTATTCTAACATAAAAGACTCTTTCACTATTGGATCTACTTTGATCTTATGTTATCTTAAGCAATTCCACTGCACAAAAGAACTTACTCAGTTCTTCATTTCTCCACTCAAGTTCATCAACTGACTTGATCGTCGGAGGAATCACAAGGGAACCAAGCCCCGTCCTCTCATGAATTGCTATTTGTGCAGGCTTCAGCTACTCAATTCAGAACCGGATATTCAGGGAAGAGCGACCCCTCATCAATCTCACCCTCATCACATATATTTGATTGTTTGATCACTTAACATCAACAGAGGTATTAATATGTTAAGAAATACCTTGGAGAATCATACTCAAATAAAAAGATAAACTTGGAGTTTAAAGTGACAATACACCTCGTAGAAAATCAAGACTTGTGATTGGTGCAATTTAGAATGGGCCACTACAAAATCTTGTGGGCCCATGCAATGGGCCCAACCACATATGAAAGCCTGACCAATTATCTAAAAATGGATCGTGGGAAATTTTCCTCCCCAAACCAACAAAAGAAAAAGTTAAAAATAAAGATGTTGAAACAACACTCTAATTAAAGACAACATCATGAGAGGGAACACCATCAATATTTGTTATTCCAACTCCTAATCAAACACATCCAGTAATGGTCAATTGCTTTTCTTTAATCTTTGAATATTTATCTCCTTCTTCTTGTTCTACTTAAAAAAACTAAATATATACTAAAAAACCTCTTCGTTTTTGGATGTTTTTAACCCGCACAAAAAAAAAGAAAAAAAAGAAAAAAAACCCCACCAAACAATCCCACAAAAAATAACTTTCAATATATCAGATTAACACTTGTCAAGTTTAGAGGTTACGGAAAAACCCCTCCTGTAGCACAGAAACCACAATTTCCACCTGGGTGGAACTAGATCCAAAATTTGAAAAACGAAATAAGAATTTAGCAGTCAGCTAAAAACAGAATGGTCATGATTAAAGATACAGACTCCCATCTAATCCCAAATTCAAATATTCAGATGAATACTTCAAATAACGTACCCATACTGCCCTCATCGGCATATTTTCAGTGTATTTGTTGGCTCTAGCATAGGTAGGACGAATTACCATCAGAAGTTTAGCGTCCACTGCAGAATTGGCAAGTTCAACTGTCAAAGCAACGGCAGGAACTAGCAGCAACTTAAAGTAACGAAGAACTTACTAAGTTCTTGCAATTATTAAGCCAATGTCAGATCCAAATTAGTCACATGCCTTAATTGAACTAGACAAACCAAGGTAATAAACCCCACAAACTACTTTACCTGCAGCAGAAAGTCCAGAACTCACGTCATTACATGGATTAATCAACTGCTTGTATATAATAAGTAACAGGTACATAATTATCCATTTTTTTTGAAACAAAGCCCGGTTAGGGTTGAAGATTTCGATTCAAGATCATACCAAAATAAAGATAAACAGCGGGTTTAGGTGTTCCTCTTATAGTAAATATAACACTATTTCTGCACTGGGTAAAGTATTTTGCTAATACCTACATCAAAAAATAATTCAACACCTCCAAATCCAATGTAGAAAGAAGACAGCACAACCCTTCCATGTGTGCTGTCGAGCATCGAAATATTTCACCGATAGAACATCTCGCATTCACACAACATTGCCCTTGCCAAAGTATTCGCCTCCATAAATTCTAATCACATTTGATGTTTCTGTAGATTCTTCTCACAAACAAGGTAGAGCCCAGATAACCCACAGCACCTGAATATAGCAGACAGATATAGAAACACAAGAGGAAAAACTGGATAAAAAAACTAGAAACCCCATTCATCCAGTTTTTCAAGAAAACCCCTCATTGGAAAAGTTCGACAAAACACTCCTCATGTATGGCCATTGATGAAACCTCTATTTTATAATGGAGTTTTCTTCTTCAGACATTTGAACAAACATTTGCACTTTGATAAGACGTCTGCACTTTAGAATCTACATATTTTGGAAGTTTAAAGGAAGAAAACAGAGAGAAAGTTAAATTCTTGGATAAATTTAAAAAAAAACTAATAATTTTATCAATAACGTAGAATTTCATGCACACATTTGCTCAGATGTCTGAAGAACCAAACTCCATTGCATAATTAATTATTTCATTAATGATCATAGATGACGGGATGTTTTGTTGAAATTTTTAGATTGGGTAGTTTCTTAAAAACAGGGTAATAAATGGAGGTTTCTTATAATGTACCCAAAAAATATATAAAAAAGATAATGTAGTGTTCACTCACCGCAAAGTATTCCTAAGCCGAGACAAAACATAAGTGTGTAGCCAAAGTAGAAGCTAGTTTGGAAGAAACCAGACATTTTGGTCTTCACATAGTAATAGTAAATAGAGTAAAGGTACACATAGACAGCGGTAGAAGCGGCAGAGAAAAATGAAGTCCACTGCCAGTGGTAGTTCTCAGCATTCAGCAAGAAATATGTACCCACGACGGTTACACAAATAGTCACAATGACGAGGATAATGAAAACCAGTAACATAAAACCATACACATAGTACACCTGCCAAAGCAACAATTTCATCAGGTATATGAACCATGCTAATTCATATCAGGAAATAATCACCTTTTCAGAAATCTCAAAGCAGAATATCACATAAATGGAAAATATAATATACTGTTATTAGTTTCACAAAACTCATGGAAATCTTTTTGAGGTACAGAATTCACAGGAAAACGTTCTGGGGTTGATTGCGGAGAGCCTCCTGTAATGTCGCCCTTTTGTTGATCTCTGAAGCACGGATTCGCCCCCGGAGGCCACGAATCTGTGTCTGACTCGAATCGGACACGGATTCGTCACGACATGTGCACGACACGTGTCGGACACGGTCAATCCGTGTCCGACACGGGTCAACGGTCAAATTAGGCTCGGACACGGTCAAAGGAGCTCGGACACGGTTCGGATTCGTCGAAGGCCGATTCATTCGGGTTGCGGGTTTGGTTGTTAAAATCCAACCCGAACCGTTCGATTAAAAAATCCATCCCTATTTCTCAAATCTCCCGTTCGATTCGATCCTCAGCTGACTCAAACGAAAGAAAATAAGAAAAACTCTAACCCTAACCCTAACCCTCTCTCTCAATCTCTCAGCTTCCACTTCATCTTGAGGTACTTTTTGTTTACAAACTTGTTATTTTGTGATAGATTCATATTTTATATTGCCAGTTGAATTTTATAAAATTTTCATATATAATAATTTTTTTTAAAATCCTTGTCGTATCCCCGTATCCTATTTTTTTGGATTTTGCCGTATCCGGTATCCGTATCCGTATCCGTATCCGTATCCGTGCATCATAGTTGTGGATAG